GAGATGGGGGTGATAGTTTGCCTCGGCCTCCAAAGTGCTAGAATTAAAGACATGCGCCACCATGCCCAGCTAAGATTTTTTTTTTTTTTTAAGATGGCCTCACTGTGTAGCCATGGCTGGTCTCGAACTCGATATTCAGACTAGGCTGGCCTTTAACTCACAGAGGCTCACCTGCCTCTGCCTCCCAAGGCCAGCAAGATTTTTTTTTTAATTGTGTGTATGTGTCTTGGTATGTGCATGTAAGTGTAAGTGCCCCTAGGGGCCAGAAGAAGGCACTGGATCCCCTGAAGTTAGAGTTACAGGCAGTTGTAAGCCACTCAACTTGGGTGCTAGGTATTTGTTGTTGGTCAGCTAGTTATGTTAAGAAATGTTGTTATAGCTATTTGGAGGATTCTTTATTAATAAACAAGCTGTTTCTGTTCCCTTTTTATTATGATACTTTCCACAAATACTAGTGCCTCTTATTTGCCAGACCTTGTGCTAGTCCTTGAGAATACAGTACTGAGTAAAACAAAGTACATAACATCATAGAACTTATTTGGGAAAGATGGATAGAAAGCAATATGTGTCAGGTGCTGATAGGTGCTGATAAGAACTGTAATTAGAGGGGCTGGAGAGATGGCTCAGCAGTCAAGAGCACTGGCTGCTCTTGCAGAGGACCCAGGTTTGGTTCCCAGCGCCCACATGGAGGCGACCAACTGTCCATAACTCCAGTTCTAGGGACTCCAATGCCCTCATCTGGCCTCCACCAGCATTGCATGCACGATTGTACTTACATGCATGCAGGCAAAACACTCGTACACATAAAATTGAAAAAAAAAAAGTTAAGAACTGTAATTAAGCCAGGGTAAAGAATAGAAGACTGGTGAGATTGTATGCAAAAATATTTTATTACTTTTATTTTATGTGTATGAGTGTTATGCCCGTATGTAAGTAAGTGCACCCATGTCATGGAATGCCCACAGAGGTCAGAAGAGGGTGTCAGATTCCCTGGAACTGGAGTTACAGACAGTTGTTAGCCACCATGTGGGTGCTGGGAGTTTCAACTGAACCCGAGTCCTCTACAGGAGCAGCCAGTGCTCTTAACCACTAAGCCATCTCTCTAGCCCCTGAAATTGTATGTTAAAGCACTCACAAGTTACAGGGGTTTTTTTAGATTTCATTTTTATCTTTAAATGTGTGTGTGTATGTGTATGTGTGTGTGTGTGTAGCACATGCACATACAGGTGACCGAAGAGGCCAGAAATGTCAGATCCTCCTGGAGCTGGAGTTACAGGCAGTTGGGAGCCATCTGACATAGGTGCTGGGAACTGGACTTGGGTCCTCTGCAGGAGCAGTACGTACTCTTAATCTCCGAGCCATCTCTTCAGCCCCAACAAGTTATTTCTGATAATGAGATTATAGATAACTTTTTATTATGCTTTTATATATGTTTATTAATATATTGCCTTTATTCTTGGGGAAGACAGAGTTCTAATTAGGTCATGTTTGTATTTGAAGACTGCCTCTGTGTGCATCAAGAGGAAGAAAGCTGCCTGTGGGCTTCCCCTCCAAGAATGTATGAGACTTCCCCCAGCAGGTGTCTCACATGGTCTAAACATGTTCACACAGTGAATCCTTTCAGGCTCTGGGCAGGCCTCTGCTTCACATCAACCACACCAACATCTGAGAATGTTTTTACAAAATTCTTAATTCTCTAATTTGGGCTAAAGTATTCTGTATAGAGACCATTTCCTAAGTGTTTGAACCCAAATAGGTAACTTATGAGGAAAGAGTAGAAACACTCTCTATAAGCTACATATTCTTCATATAGAGATACCTTGTTTTTCAAATGATATTTCACAATATTTCTGCCAAACAGGACCCAACTCAGCTCTGTTGGTACATGTGTTGTAACTCTTGTCAGAGTTGTGGGGAAGGACAGAAACATAATGAAGCAGACATCACTCTTCAGGGAAATGAGTGCCCCCCCACACACACCTTTTCCTTTGCCACCTGTACATCAATAGAGTGTCTGCATCTTGCCGAGATGTACCTCAGCTGCCCCACATCAGGAATAACGAGAAGACGGAAAGGAAGGAAAAGCTTGAAGCCCCACCCATGATGAAACTAGGCCCCAGTTATGGAACCCGGCAGATAATGTATTAATGAAAAAGCATCTTTTATCGCTAAACTTGCAGGACTTCCTACAATTCTGAAGTTTCAGCATCCTCTTCAGAATCAGAGCTATGATACATTTGTAAGGGACTGTTTTTTCTAGGTACCTGCCTATCCCTTTACCTATTGCTATCTTGGCTTTTAAAAAAATATTTTGTTCTTTTTATTCTATGTGCATGAGTGTATTGCCTGCATGTGTGTAAATGCACCTTGTCATGAAGTTCCCTTGGAGGTCAGAAGAGGGTGTTGGATTCCCTGAAACTGGAGTTATGGATGATTGTTAGCCGCCATGTGGGTGCTGGGATTCGAACCAGGGTCCTCTGCAAGAGCAGTCAGTGCTCTTAACAGCTTAATCATCTCTCTAGCCCTGGTGCCTTGGCTTTTGAGTGAATGTTAGTCCCTAACTCACCAACCCACTTCTGTTCACAGGAGTGCTTTCCCTTTCTTAATAAACTGTCCCTATTTCTATTTCTAGCCATGTATTCCTAATGTAAAACTTAGTCCTGGAACACAAGAACCTGGAAACTTCAGCAGGTGCCACCCCCTCCCCCCAGACTCAGATCTATGCCTTCAGCAGGTGGCTCACCCAGCCAGGAAGATAGACTGATAAAAATGCCCATTTCAAACTAAATTTATGGTGCAGGGATTCCAGCTAACTCTCTACTATAGGAACACCTCCTTTCCAACCAGTAAAGTAGGAAGAGAGTCTTATGATCTTTCTTTGGCAGGGGAGCCTTAGCATGGAAGAAGTTACAGGTTGGTTGATGATCACTATTCTGCTTCACAAAATAATTTGGGAGTTGAGGTGGGAAAGATGGCTTAGTGTTAGGAACACACACTGCTCTTGCAGAGAACCTAGTTCAGTTCTCATCACCCTTGTCTGGTGACACAGCTACCTGTCACTCCAACTCCAGGAGGATTAGTGTGCGCACAAACCTACCCATAAATACACATCATTAAAAATAAACTTTTTTTTAGAAAAGGTTTTTGGGTCCACCCCAGGGCTATAAGTAACAATAACAAACAGACCTTAAGGAAGAAAAGCCCATAATGTACAAACTCAGGAGAGGCATGTGCTATGTAAATGACCTTCAAAGGGTCCTGCAGCTAAGTGTGGTGGTGCACAAGCCTTAAATCCCAGCACTGAGGAGGCAGAGACTCTGGGACCACGGCACGTTCCAGGCCAGCTGGGGCTACAGGAAGATCCTGTCTCAAAAAATAAAATAGGGGCTAGAAAGATTGCTCAGCAGTTAGGAACACTGACTGGTCTTGCAGAGGACCCATGTTCAGTTCCCAGCACCCACATGGCAGCTGACAACCATCTGTTAACTCCAGTTTCAGGGGATCGGATCTTGTCTGGCTTCCTTAGGCAATGCATGCATGTGACCCACTTAAATACATGTAGTCAAAACACTTATACACTATGGCATGTAGACCAGGCTGGCCTTGAACCCAGAGATCCACCTGCCTCTGCTTCCAGAGTGCTAGAATTAAAGATGTGCACCACCACACTAGGCTTCTATTTCTAATCATCATCATCATGTACCTTTCCTGTTCTCTGTTTATATTTATGCTATATTCATTTCTAGAGATGTAGACACTTCATGCATTCAGTGGGTACTGAGCACACTTGTTCTAAGAGTGTTTTGATATAAAGATGAAAAGTTAGAAGGAACAAGAATTTCTTTTGTGCCTCTTTGTCTTGTCTTTTAGTTACATAATTATAAATTATTTTCCTTTGCAAGGGATCTAATCTAGTGCCTTATGTATGCTAGTGAGCACTTACATGCAAGCAATACACTCATGCATAAAATAAAAATAACTAAAAATAAAAAAATAAAAATCTTTAAAAAAAATTTAAAAGCTTAAATGTGCCAGTCACCCTTGCAGACATTTGGAGGTAGAAGCAGGAAGATCTGGAGTTCGAAGTCATCTTTCTTTAGTGAGCTTTGGCTATAAGACACCCTGTGCAAAAAAATGTAATGGTTTGGGAGGCAGAGGCAGGTGGATCTCTGTGAGATTGAGGTCAGCCTGGTCTACATACCAAGTGCCAGGCCAGCTGGGGCTACAGGGAGACCCTGTCTCAAAAAGACCAAAAAAAAAAGTAATGGTTGGAGATGTCCAGTGTGATTAGTAACTCCCATTTCAGGGTCATCCGTTTCTAACAGGTATCTCCTTATTTTCTTTGACTTCATGTGGCGTCAACAAATGTTTATTGACTGTTTATTCTTCATTGTTGTAATGGATCTTACTGTCTAATGCAGATAATTATCAATCACAGGTAACTGTGGAATAAATCAGAATATAGTCACTGCCATAGAGAATGAGGAACTCACTTTTTGCTGTGGAAATTGGTGATACCTAGGTTAGTTAGTTAGGATTTGTGAATGAAGTAGCATTTAAAATAGGCCTTGAAGATAAGTGTGAAATGTATGACCTTTGTTAAATTTTCTTGATGTCTTTGTTAGAGATAATTTGACCAGGCACAGTGGCACATGCCCGTGATCCTGGCACTTGGGAGGCTGACAGAAGGATCTCCACTCAGATGCCATCCTGGGATATACTTTCCTTAAAACAAACAGCAACAAAATTAATAGGCTGCATTGTTTGACATCTATTCCAGAACCTTAAATACTTTACCTTCAAGTAACACCTGTTTTTGATCTGTTTTTGAGCTCATTTATGCAAAGGAATACATCATACAAAATTTTCAGTATTACCCAGTCTTTATAAACATCAGTCATAAATTTAGGAATTACTTTTCTGAATGTTACCAAACAAAAAAGGACATGAAATTTGATGTCTTTCTTTCTTATACCACTGATTTTCTTTACTCCTTTTAGGCACAGACCCTTTTGCTTCTGTTTTCGGGAATGAATCATTTGGAGATGGATTTGCTGACTTCAGCACATTATCAAAGGTAATCTGTGATGATTCATGGGAAGGAAAAATGTATCATGTTCCCATCAAATGAGCAGACCCCCTTTCAGTTGCCAAGCCCTCTCACAACATTGGAACTTGATTGCAGTCAGTTATAGCAAACATTGATTTCAGGTAGAAGTTACAGATAAGCTATAATTATATTTCTATACATAAAGTGATAACAATGATAATTCAGGTGATTATAATTTTCCACCGAAAGATTTGCTGAACATCATATTTCTTTTTAAACAGTCTTTTGATTTTTATACTCTGAGGTTTTTAGGGTCTATACTAAGATAAATATCACATAAGCCTCAGCATTGGATATCCACTGCTTGTTTTCCAGCATAGCTGTAGTATTGATCTACCCCTCTCCCAAAAGGAACCTTTGACAATATCTAGAGACATTTGTGCTTTTCACAACTAGCTGGAGGGCGCAACTCATATCTAATGGGCAGAGGCCAGTGATGCTGTTGAACATCCTAAAGAATACTGCACAGCCCCCAAAACATAGTTATTCCCTCCCAGAATGTTAGTGCCACTATTGAAAAACACTGACCTAAATAGATCTCAAATCTTAAACTAGTGTGTTAGAGAAAATGCAGTCTTTCATTACTCTACCTATTTGAAGGTCAGGATCTTCAGAGCCCTATTAAAACATCATTCCATGGAATCAGCTTGCTTTTATTTATTTTTATTTTATGTGTATGAGTGTTATGCCTGCATGTATGTAAGTGCACCTGTGTCTTTCAGTGCCTGCAGAAGCCATAAGATGATATTGGATCCCCTGGAACTGAAGATGTGGACAGTTGTTAGCTGGCGTGTGGGTGCTGGGAATCAAACCCAGGTCCTCTGCAACAGCAGCAAGTGCTCTTAACTGCTGAACCCCCAGTTTGCTTTTAAAAATTGACTTCGTTTGCCTTCATTGTTTGCCTAGATGGCATTCTCTTTTTTTATTTTTATTTTTGTGTTTTTGAGACAGGGTCTTCTTGTAGCCCCAGCTGTTCTGGAACTCACTATGTACACCAGGCTGGCTTCGAACTTACAAAGATCCTCCTGCCTCTGCCTCCCAAGTGCTGGGCTCAAAGGCGTGCGCCACCATGCCTGGTGTCATTTTCTTTAATATTACATTGTTCCTATGTTTAAAGTCAGTCATTCCTTCTGTTGCATTACCATCTGGCTCCAGCAGCTTTAGAAGGGCCTCAGGTGGCTCTGTTGTGAACATTGTCTGGTGCTTCATAAGTTTTCAGTGCAGAGTTGGCTTGTTTGTGTATGATTTGTTGCTCTGCAAAATTTGTGATGTGAGAGTCACTGCTCATACAGAAAAACTTGTAGTCCTGTTCTTGAATGTAGAGGTTACAATGCCACTAGGCTGGAGCTGGGAGAAGGCTCCGTTAAGAGCACTGTCTGCTCTTGCAGAGGACCTGAGTTCGAGTCCCAGTACCCACACTGGGGCTACAAACCATCCCTAACTCCAGTTCCCGGGTAATCTGATGCCGTCTTCTGACCTCTGAGGCATTGTACAACACAGGTGCATTTAACAGGCAGTGCACTCACACACATAAAATAAAAGTAATAAAATATGTTAAAATAAATATATATATATATAAAATGTCAGTTGGCTAGGAACTGAAAAAAAGTTATGTAATACTTAAATCATTCTTTTGAATATTGTTTGCCCATATGTATATGAAACTATATGAACATTTCTTTTTTAAACAAAGGTCAACAACGAAGATCCTTTTAATCCTACCACATCAAGTTCTGCCAGCAGTATAATTATTCCAAAACCTGTGTTTGAGGCGATACCAGTCAAGAGTGAAGATGTACCCCCAGCCCTGCCGCCAAAGATTGGAACTCCAACGAGACCTTGCCCACCACCACCTGGTATGAGAGCTGAGGCCTTTCCTAAGTCAATTTGATGCCTTTTCCCTCTCTGAAAAGTGAACTTTTCTTACATACTTACATAGCTTATATAAAAAATAAAATCAAAGACTTAGCAACACTTGGTGCTGTCGTTTTCTGACCTCAGTACTTATGTAGGCATGTGCCTAAGAAGCCAGTGCATGTAATTGGCATGAACTATCTTTCTGGTGTGAGCCTCTCCCCCACCTCCATTTCAGAGATGCAGTGAATGGAAAAGGTGCAGGTGAAATCTCATACTTTTTGGAAGCCCAGTGATTATCAATTGAAGAGCAGTTTCTTGTACTTTGGGTTTGTAATTAATTTCTTTGAGAGAAAACTAATTTGAAGTCTCCTTTTCTTAAATTCTATTTATTTA